CTCCTCTATAACCGTGAAGATTTTTTTTTTCTGTCCCTTGTCCTACGAAATACGATTGGCCAAACCACAGAGAGATGAAACCAAGGAGGAAATACCTGAAAGGAAAATGCAAGAAGAACTGGGCAAGCGAACGAGCGGTCTGACTCGAAGGACGGACGCATCAAGCCTAGAGACGGCGCACAAAGACTAAAACTTTAGTCACAAAAGGGACACAAATAAACCAGACCACAAATATAGACAGAAACTGTTAGTAGCTTCGGCTAGCTAGCAGCAGTCTGAAAGTGGTCGAACTTTTAATTTTTTTTTCTTTTAAAAGGAATCGGAATCGGAGACTCTGCCGCTGTGAATTTGATTTTCACTTTACTTTTTTTGGATAGAAAGACTTATGAGGCCTAAATTTCATGCCTCGCAATTCAGAGATGTCATCCAGCCTCTCTAGAAGAACAAGGGCATGATCTTCACTCAGTGGCGGCATCCAGTGATCCCCAATTTGAAGGACCTTACCGACGCCGGCAGCCCTATCTAACATGACCTGCATGGCAATAAGGAACAGTATTGGCGTAATCCAACGCCTTCTCTATTCAGCGGCTTTATTGTTAAATTTTATTAGCACACTCATTTACCTTAAAAATCACATATAGTTCTATAAAATATGTCGCAAATTAAAGAAACTGTAGTTTAATTTGTTTATACACCTCCTCGATAAAAACTTAACATAGAAGGACTCCATTCTTGCACAAGAACGGGAATCCCTGTTGACCCGTTTGGCCTATAAATAGAGAAGGTCGTGGCCTTATCGTAATCCCATTGTTATCCCCGCTACGGCCTTCTCTATTTATAGGCCTAACAGGTCAACGGGGATTCCCGTTCTTGTGCAAGAACTGAGTCCCTCTGCGTGGACAGTTTTTATCGAGGAGATGTATAAACAAATTAAACTACAGTTTCATTAATTTTCGACATATTTTATAGAACTATACGTCATTTTTAAGGTAAATAAGTGTGCCAATTAAATATAACAATGAAGGCTCTTACAGACAAACAAAAATGCTTTTGCTACAGTCAACATGAACTTAAACATTAATAACGTTTAGATATAAACTAAAAGTTGTTCCAGCAAAAGAGCTATTAGTGCTAACTCTTTGATTCTGAGAGGTTATTGTTGCATCAGAGGAGCGGGAGGGGAGAGGGGGAAGGGTGACATTTGTACTTTATCAAATTTAGCGCATAAAAATACTGCAATTGAAACATACACATGTCAAAAATAACATAAATATAAATGATTGATGGTTATTATTATTATTAGTAGTAGACTACTACAACATATAATTATACTGTTATTTAATAATTAGTAAACAAGCACAATCAGTATGAAATTGATATGTGCAATACTTTTTTCACCTAGAGTAGTTTTCTTAACAGTACTTATAGCACTACTAAATATGTATCCTCAAGGTACAAACAGCACAGACAAATTTATCCAGTTTCATCTTGTTGGATGAAATCAATTCCTTATCATTACGAATTTTTTGGTAACTGTTTAAAAACACATCACACATATTTCTAATTACTACATGCAACAACTCAGATAAGTATTATGAATATATATTATTTTAAAAGTAATTAAAGCAAATTAAAAAAGACCATATAACTGCAAATTGCTGAGCAACATACACATATCAAACACAAAAATCCCCATATAGATACCGGATCTCGTTGTTCAAAACTGTCTGGAACAAGACTAAAGCCCAGAATAAGATGAACAGCCAGAAGTTTCTGCCAGAGTTTACAGCCAGTGTTTGCGAAGCAAAAGCCAATTTACAAAAAAGCCAGATTTGCAAATAAAAATTAACAACCAAAACACAGAGTTTACCGTACAAGCTGCAAAAGCCAATACAAAAATTAACGCAGCATAACTGCAATATGGCATAAGAAGTGGATGAACCAGAAGTTTCCGCAAGAGTTTACAGCCAGTGTTCACGAAGCAAAGCAAAAGCCAGTTTACAAAAATTAACACAGACAGTACAACTGCAAATATGCATAAGACGCGGATGAACAACCAGAAGTTTCTGCAAGAGTTTACAGCCAGTGTTCACGAAGCATAAGTCAAATGGTCATTCATTCATCATTCAGTAGCATACCTCGCTGCCATAACCCTAGTATCCTGAGCAAGACTGCTGATACACCCATCTGGAGATCATCTATCCTGCCCCCATCTTCTCCTTATACTGTTAGTCATATACCCCTCCATTATTGTCTAGACTTCCAGACGTTTCAAGTGCAAAATATTTCAATTTTCTTTGAGTAGATATTGCTCTGAAGTATGGATGATTTGTTCTTTTTTTTTAGATATTCTTAGAAGTAACATTTAATTCAAATGCATTTATGCGCTGTTCCGCTTGTTTAGTAATCCAGGTCTCACAGGCGTATGTTGCAATGGGAAAGACTCTCTTAAAAATCTGACCTTTGTAAATCTGTACAATTTAATTTATCAGTTGTTTTTTTGATGTCAAATGGTTAAGGATAAATATTATTAGTAAACTGCTACCATTTACTGTTAGTCAACAATTACAGTGCTGTGAGAGGTTATATGAAATTAAATAGTTTTCATTCTTACCAGAACTCCGAAATATCTTGAAACAATAAGTGGTTGCACCATTTGATGCACAGTCAATATGAAAGCAATAGTTTTCTCCAACACAAGATATGGCTTCGAAATTACCTGGCTTCTAAATTACCTGTTTGTATTTTCCCTAAAAGTAAGATTTCTACATTTAAAGTAGAAAAGTAATGAACAGCCAGTTCCCCAAAATCCGAACTACTGACTAGAATCAGTGACACACACGTCACAACACGACTGTCTCCCGTGAATTAAAATTAAAATTGCTGTAATCTAACAACAAAGTATGAAAATCTTATATATCCAATTTACAAAATCAGCTTGTCGATTTGTAATACGAATACAATCAGAAAACAGCAGTTTGTAAGCATATTATATTGTCACACAATGCAACATGGAAACGCTTCAAGTAACCTATTTTCGAGGGGACTCCGCCAAAATGTATCGTGATTCAGTTGTTAGGCATTTTTAGAGCAGGCAGTGTCCCAGCCTGGAGCCCGGCTCTCTAGCGTAGTCGGCTAAGCCGGTTTGCGCGGTGACCGGGTGACGAACTCCTTGTGGTCCGGGTTCACTTCCGGGGGTATGCAGAAAAGCCATATTTCTCCCAGATTTACGGTATTTACAATGGAATCAAGGCCGAAGGGTGGCGATATCCATAATACCGAGCCTAAGGGTTAACAACTCATTACTTCTGAACAAACAAACAAACAATCCAAGCCTAGAGCTCAGTCCATCTCGTAGTAAACGCCGGGGGTAGGGGGGTGTAGAAAGAAAAATCGAACGTTGAGAAATATTGCTCTATAATGGTGGTTTTCTATGTCGGTACAAGGAGCCTGCGAAGGGCCTGCCACAATAGCTTTTGGGGTATCGACCCATAGGCGTTAGCGAGGTCTAACAATGCCACGTGGCATTGGGTTCTGTCTGCCTTAGCTCTCTGGATAGACTTCCAGATCACAGTCGCATGCTCTAAACACCAAGGGATACCAGGGATGCCACACATTTGCACCGTTGTGTCAATGCAATTGTTCTGCATCACATACCGTGTTAACCTGCGCGCCATCCCTGAGAAGAATATTTTGCCCTCAACGTTTAACAGCGAAAAGGACCTGAATTTGGAAAGACTGGTGGAGTCTCGTTCCTTGGGAACGTAGACTCCTTTGGCTCTTTGCCACTCGGTACATAGGTACCGCTAGCCGTAGCAGGCGGTGAAGCACTCAGAGGACTTTCGTACAACGTTTGTACAACGCGTACGGGACGCCATTGGGTCCTGAGGTAGATTTGCTGTTGGCTTTTTTCACAACTTCTTCGACTTCAGACCATGTTGGAGGTATCGCTCTAAACTTTACTTCGGCAACTCGTGTGATTTCAGACCACTGGTGATCTCTGGATTGTCATGGATAGGTTCTTTCTTTGTCTGGTCGGAGTACATTTTCACTAGATGCGACCCCAGTTCCTCTTTGCCGAGAGCTAGAGTCTTAGATTTGGTTATATTTTTGTTCTTACTTTGTTCTTACAGAAATGCTCAGCGCGAAAAGGGCACTGTGTCTCGTCCTCTGGTGCAATCAGACCTCGTACAGTCCCTTCCGTTCGCTGCCTGTAGCCGCTTTTGACAGTTTTCTTAGAATATTCTTGTCTGCTCGGCACTTCTCAATATCTATCTGCCTTCTTTTCGACTGTCCGGAACTCTCGGGCACAATGAGTATAAATTAAATCACCAAATTGTGTTAGCTTGTCAACTAGCTACTTTTTCTTAAGTTCAACATAAATAACCTCACAAAGAATTTCACCCAGCTTGCACTACGACACCCTATCGCTTACGGATGGAAACTTGATCTTCGTCTAAACTTCGTTGGAGATCTTCAAATTTGCGCCCCCGTGAAAGACGCTTTGGGCCTTTCCGGGCCAGTGGGGATCACATTTGCACCCCCCCCCCCCCCCAACTCCTCAGATACTTTATTTAACACCCTAAGCAATTATAATTAGGGCTTCTGAAACCCCCTCATTTAATGTTATTATATACTGCAATTTAACCAGATTCATTCTGTAGGTCTTCCCCACCCCCCTTTCTAACAGCTTTGTACAGTAAATACTGCCAGGGAGTAACTCGAAATATTATCGTTACTGATACTTATAGAAGTTGCTTTATAACTTAAACTATCACTAACATATTTATAATAATTATTTATTTTACTGAAAAGGAAGAATGACAATATAAGTAACTGCACCTCTCTTAAAAATAAAAAGAACCGTTTAATTAAATTCTATACACCATGATGAATGTCCGCATGTCACGTGGTGTGCAGTAGACCTTTTACATATTGGGTGATCGCTTTTGGTCCATCTTCCCTTTTTTTTTGACAGAGTTTCATCACGGCTTCGTAATATGCCTAATGGTTCAAATCACAATGGTCCTGGTCTAGAACAGCAGGTAAACTTATTTTTCACTGAAAATCTACCAATAATAATTCCGAAGTGGTAGGAAGGTGGATTAATGACAGATTAACGCGATATGCAATCTGTGGAAAATTCAAAATGGCGGTTAATAATTCCCTGTTCTGTCCCCAGTGCAGAAATCGATCATATCACACTGAAAGTGATAAGTTCAGGTGGAGACACGCTCAGTTTACTTTAGCATCGTGTGTGTGATTTTGTTGTTCACACAGAAAAATCAAGTGCAGTTCGGCATATTGAAGTTACTGTCACAAAATGTAGCAAGTACTGTGCAGAGAACGTCGCTCATATCACGACCCGTCGGAAAAGTTCTCATTCTCCCTTGCCTTATTAATTACTAACCTTATTTAGTTTTTGTCCAACACTGTCTCCAGTGCCCTGTCTCCACCTTTGTGCTTCTCGACCTCTAATCCTTTAAAATGTTTATATTTTAAAATTACCTGTAGCTTTCTAAAATTAAAAGATTACAAATTATTACACCCTAAACCACTGTCACTACTGTATCATTTTATGGCCAAAGTAGTATTTTATTTTATTACTAATATTATTTAAGCAGTTTCCAAGTTGAAATGATTAGGATTGACATATGTTGCACAGTTTATTGCTGGGTATATTTTCCTTATCAAGGCCATACTGCATAATTTACACCTAAAACATAAGAAAGCAAACATACATGAACACAGAAATATAACATTCATCATAGCATTCATAACCCTTAGCCTGTGGTGGTCGTGGAGGTGTATCAGTGGAAGCCCTAGCACACAAAACTACCATCTTTTCTCTGTCTTCTGCTTGTTGGACTGTTGTATAATTCAGTCCTGTCCTTTTCTTGATGGTGTTGTTCCAGGTTTTCTTTGCCCTCCTCTTCTTGACTACCCGATAGTGTTTCTTGAAGTGCAGTCAAATCATAGAGAAAAGAGTCTATTCAAGTAAAATACACAAATTACATGTTTCACTGGACATAGTACATACATCTTCCATAGAGAATACAGCGGTAAGGGGAAAAAAAGGGGGGGGGGGGGGAGAAAAAAGGGGAAAAGAAAGATTTATTTTGCAAACTGTAAATATATTAATTTTCCCCTAATTCTGTCTTATGTAAACTTTTTTTTTTTTTTTTTTTTTTTGGCAACTGAATTTTGAATGGAAGGAAACTTTTAGGTGGGAAGAAAAAGAAGTCTTTATCGAAATTGAAATGTTCCTTTTGATTGAGTTCTCATTATTTTACTCAGTAGTGAACATTTTACTTTTAATAAGAAACAATCCCCATATGGGTTCAGGAGCCCCATTTTGGGATAAAAGGATTAGAACCACTGCCCTGCTGACAGCATACCGTAAAAGATGACTAGTTAGGGCTGTTTCTTTTGAAGCAGGAGTGCAAGGAGCAACAGTCTGCATACACATAAGCAATATCTGTAAAACAGATGTGCACACACACATTCTAGAGCAGGATCAAAGTTCAGAAGCTGGATGAACAACCAGAATTGTCTGCAGGATTTTTCGGTCTGTGAATTCTAAGAAGAAGAAGAAAGCTTGTTGGATATCATTTCCATGCCTTTGAAAACCAACTCTGGATTTTTATTGACTTGTTAGAGTTTTTCTAGGGTCAGTAGTTTAAAATTGTTTTCTATACAATGTTTATATAGTTGTCAAATCACATGTTCCTTGTGTGGGTCCTGGACCCTATTAGAGGGAAAACAAGAATAGACTCACTGCCTACCCAAAAGCTTGTCATAAGAGTCTACTACTTGGGAGCTTCCTTCGAAGTTTGAAGTGCATCTGCATAGGAGGCAAGGAACCAGCAGTCGGCATTTAAATGAGTCAGATCTGTAAAACAAAAACACTCAGGTTCTGGAACAGGACTACAGTCCAAAAGTGGATGAACAACCAAACCAGAACTTTCCACTGGTGAACGCGATGAAGATGAAGAATCATCTATTAACTTTTAACCTTTCATTTTCCCTTGTGTGTACTGAGGCCCCATTTTGGAGGGGGGGGGGGGATAGATCCATTGTCTCCCTAGCAAGCTTGTCCTTAAGGGCAACTAATTAGGGGGCGTATCCTTCTAGGTCACAGTCCAGCTACCTCAGGGGAGAAATCAACAGTAAGCATACAGATAAGCCACATCTGTGAATCGGATGCTCACGCCAAACTCAGGTTGTGGAACGAGACCAAAGTCCATACTTGGTAGTCAGTTAACCACAGTTACAATGTAATACAGACGGGTCACCCATTCCTATACCAACGAAAACAGCTCAGATTGTCCAGTACTGTTGCATGTGGAAACAGAATGGACACAGACTGCAGTATCAGCAAAACCAATAGCATACATACACTAAATTCTTAATACAGACAACATAAGTGCCGACATGAGCAGTCTGGCACTAGAAATACAGTTTATCATAGATGGAATCAGCAGATTGTTACAATTAATTATGTAAGGCACCACAAGTTCTCTGGCAACACTCCACTTGCCATTTTCTGAATCTGCAGTTCGCAACACAGACTATTTTGGCTTCAGTCAAAAATCCCCTCAAATGAAATCCACAGCTCACAGTGTCATGCCATGCATTCATCTCAGTATCTGGGTGATGGCACTGTAATTTTTCACTCTTCCTAAGGAGGTAAGTGTAACGGTTCACTATTGTCAGAAGCAAAAACTTGCCACGACTGGAGCCAGTTAGTCTGCCTATCTACCATATTAACCGGAAGTGGAATAACCACCAGAACCTGTTGCAGGGGTGTACAGCCAATGATCACTAAGAAGAAAGAGAGAGCGTTGTATATTTGGATTGTGAAACTGCATTCACAACCGCTTAGCCTCAATTACCAACTTGAAAAGATATTTGTCTTGTCATTTTACCAAAATATAGACTTTCATTACCTTATATTTTGTCGTCTGTTATTCCAGTTTGCTGGGCTGGACTTGAATGGGCAGCAAGGATTTGGTAAAACTTTTGTGTGTGGTTGTTACAAAACATGTTCTGTATTAGAGATTACAGTTAAATTAACACTGGGTTCACATTTTAAATATTTTGGTTAAATGTTTGGGTGTCGGGCTGTTTTGTGTTAACATCTGTAAGATACATTTTATGATTTTGGGATACTTGCAGTCAAAGTAAGTACAAACTTTCCAGCAGAGATAAGTTCTGTAAAGCATAATATTTTTTGCTAAAACACCAGTGTGATTTGTAATTGGTCACCCATAGAATGGGGGGGGGGGGGGGGGGGGAGCCGTTGAACAGTTGTAAATTTTCATATTAAGGAATTGAGGCGCATTTCTGTTAATTTTTGTTAACTTTGGTTCCTGTGTTTTTTTCCCCTATGGGTCATGTTTACCTTTGGGGGAAAGGGGGGGGGGGGTGGCGGAATGCCAGCCACCCTTTTAAAAGTGAATGCAGAAGGTTCTCTGTTTGTGTATCCCCCAAGGTGATGCAGTTCTCTCATTTCTTCGTCACCCTTCTGATACCCTGATTGTTTAAATCCTCTATCTTGGCCTAGAACCACATCTTGAGTCATTCTTTTCTGTAGTTGATTTTTGTTGTTGTTGGGGGGAGGGGGGGGGGGTCTTTCAGCTTGAGGTGCCAGGCATCAGATGTAAGCCTTAGTGTGTGCTATTTAGATGCTGGTAGATGTTGAATTAAGACACAGCATCACAGCACTCGGTACACACTCCCATTAATGCTATGACCCAGTCTTCTTTAGCAAGCGAAGAGTTCCAGTTCTGATGGCACCAGTAACTACCTGATCTAAATCCGTCTTGCCTTTCCCCCGTGAGCCCTGTCCAGATCCCCTGGTAGATGCTGGTATTCATGTCTTTAATTATTCCTTTTGAAATTTCACGCTCAGCTTTAGTAGTTAAATTTAGGTAGTGTGAACAGTGTTGAGAAAATTGTCGCGAAATAGGGACAAAATCGTAAGACCACATTGACAATCTTTGCATGAACAGTTTTGTTTCTACTATGTAATTTTGGGGGGGGGGGGGGGGGGGGGGGGGGGGGGGGGGGGGGGGGGGGGGGGGGGGGGGGGGGGGGGGGGGGGGGTTTACAACAAAAAATGAAATTTGCCTGAACAGAGTTGTTTAATTAGGGCACCAGGAGATGAAAACAAAATAGTGGTAGTGATCATCCTGAGGGGTTAGTATATAAAAAGGACTTGGGGGTAGTGATCATCCCGAGGGGTTAGTATATAAAAAGGACTTGGGAGTAGTGATCATCCCGAGGGGTTAGTATATAAAAAGGACTTGGGAGTAGTGATCATCCCGAGGGGTTAGTATATAAAAAGGACTTGGGAGTAGTGATCATCCCGAGGGGTTAGTATATAAAAAGGACTTGAGAGTAGTGATCATCCAGAGGGGTTAAAAAATAAAAAGGACTAAAGTACATACTGATTTCTATGTACGTTACTTGACTCGCATTAAAGTGTGTAACTGTTCAACATTTCTTCATATTTTATTTCGTCATCAGTTAGTTACCTTTTATTGTTATCTCAAAATCATTCAGTGTTGAATTACTAACAACTTTGTTCCTGGGTTGTTTATTGTTTAGTTATTTACTAGCTTTGTGAAGTTTTATCTTTCCTTAAATTGTTCAAAATCAGTTAACCCTTTCGCCCCGCTAGCCTAGGAAAAATTTGTGCCAAAGATTTGGAATTTCAGATCTTCCCAGTAACATATTTCTTTCAGAAAACAATAATTTTAGACAGTTTACAGAATGATTCTTAACAATTCAATTTTTGGACATACACAAATAAAAATTACGCATTTTTCAAACGGAGTAATCTGTAAAAAAAAAACAATGCAGTCGAGAATTGGCTGGATTACATTTTTCGAAGGTTAAATAAAAGTAATATTGTGACTCATTTTTTACCCCGTTATCAGCCGCTAGAGACAACTGTGATTAATATGAAATCACAATAGCATAATTTCTATAAATAAAACCAGTTTACAGTGGTTCTGAACCTTCTTAATGCTGCAACCCTTTAATACAGTTTCTCATGTTGTGGTGACCGTCAAACATAAAACTATTTTCATTGCTACTTTATAACTTAGGAAATATGTGTCTTCTGATGGTCTTAGGCAACCCTTTGAAATGGTCATTCGATCCCCAAATGGGTCGTGACCCACAGGTTGAGAACCGCTGATTTAGGGGGGCAACGGCACATACCGGAAGTACCGGGTTAGGTATTTCCTAGAGTGAAAGGGTTAAATTCTTATTACAATTTCAGAAACGCTACAGTTACATAAAATTACTTTAGATTTGTTTATAAATTTTTTTGGGTTTAGTATTTAAACTCTTTCAGTCCCAAGGAACGAATCAAACGTTTCTTGGTTCCTACCTGGAAGTCCAATAAACGCAAAATGCACTAAATTTACATCTGTCTTTACTACCCCTTGGGCCTCTGGTGCTAAACCCCCTGGGACTGAAAGAGTTAAGTGTTAAGTTTTCTGCTTTGAGTTTCTTTAAAATTGTCACACTTGTAACAATTTTAACTCATGACCAGGTGGTAGTCGGTACGTCCCTCCACAACTTCGGGGTATGCCAAATCTGAGCCAGCCACCTCCAGGGCACCCTATTGTGCCAATGCTCTTTCAAGGTAATTGAGGAAAATTATCGGGGCTGGGTATCATCGTATCAGGATGGTGGTTGAGCAAGTTCTTTTCAGAATGCAGAATCTTTTTCATGACAAACCATCTGCTAGGAGAATATATTCAACCTTTTTTATTTTTTTTTAGTTCGTCTGCATGGAGCCAGATGTTTTGAAAAAAAAAAATTTGCCTCGGCTGCCAAGTCGACCCAGCCTAAAATGGGTGCCAGGTCAAGTGCTGGGAAGTGAAGGCGGCCAACTTGATGTTGAACATATCATCCACCGAGTGCTGATTATAACATATAGGTCTCACACTATTTCCTGATAGTGTCAAAACAGGGTCTTTTACTTTATACCTTTTCAGTATCAAACAGTGTGCCATACAGCTTTCTTGGTCATTCCAAACATATTTTCTTTCTGTCTTCTGTCACAGATGGGCTATATTAATTTGCTTAAATTGGAGCTATCACTTTAACTGCTTTCATCAGTGTCTCTATTGACTTAGACCGAAGTAATTATTGCTTTGAAACTGACCTCCTTGGTCAGTAGTTTGGGGCTGAAAGAGTTAAAGTAACTTGCTTCTTGTCAAATGGTGTAGGTGTTCATGTCTCTCCGCAAATCTGGGTCCTTGGTTTACTCAGCCAGCCAGTCAGGGGTCGTCTACACAGTGACGGTTGGGTGACATGGATCTTCAGCGTGTTGTGTCTCCTGTCGTCTTGGTACACTCTCTCAGACTGCTGTTTGCCCATCTCTTGATGTTGACCTCCCACTTGTCTAGTTGTCTACCTCTTGCTCTCTTGTCCTCAACTTTTCCCTCCACAGTGGTGTTTTTAAACAAGTCTTTAAATGTGGCTAAAATATCAGTTTGGTGTACTGTACTGTGTTGATATCCCTTCATGCCACTGCCTCAGACCAACCACAATGTTTTTGTGGATTAATTCTGGCTTTTTCCCACTGGAATTTGATTGTCACATGATCAAAAAGCACTGTTTGTTTATTTTAATTGTGTGTGTTTTAATTCCATTAGCTTTCTCCGAGCAATTCTTGTTAGTCACTCTGTCCTAGTGGGGACACATTTTTGAGATCAGTGAATAGACCCAAGCATGTCATAGGAGGCAACCAATTAGGGGTGTTTCCTTCAGAGTTGGGAGTACATCTGCCTGATAGACAGGGAACTAACAGTCTGTGTTCAGATAAGTAAAATCTGTAAAATGGATGTGCACGCAAAACACAAGTTCTGGATGAAGACCAAAGTCCAGAACTTTCCACTGGAGTTTACAGCCAGTGAATGCTAATTAGAAGTAGACTCAGTGAGGAAAAGGACTTGTTTTGTACTCTAGATTAAACCCACACTGCAGTTATAACAATCCCTCTGGAGCTTAACTTTAAATGTTACAATGTCCAGAAAGTAACACTTGCTGAGGTAAAAACTGCTGTTCGTGAGTTTGAAAAAAAAATTATTATAAAAAATAAAAATTTACGGGAGGAAAATGTACGTTTATGAAATTTGTATATGCAGTGGTACCTCTGTATATGTTTGTTTTGATGTACGTTTAACTTGGTATATGTCCTGTTTAGATGCGAAAGTGCTTTTGCTTGGTATACGACTTTTGTTTGGAAAATGTCCCACATGCTAGAACTTGTATGAGTCAAAATTAGTCACAACAGAGTGCGCTATCTTTCTTTACCCCTCCCGAGACAAAAGTTCTGGATAGATGGCTATTACTTTGTGGAGAAGTATCACCCTAAAAGAGCCCTAATAAGCTGTGATAGTATTGTCTAGAGTGACCAGACAATGTCATATTTCTGTAAGATGAGGAGGAGGCAGAAGCAAACTTCTTTGGACAGATTTTAAATGGAAGTCAAACTTGATGGGCTCAGCCTCGTCCAGTTAGCGAAAAGAGACAGACAAAAGAAAGAGACTCATAAGGTGTTTTTTTTTTTGGGAAAGGGACTCTCCTTCCATTTAATAACATCACCTCCTCCTCCCTTCTCAGTACCATCTTAGTAGACGTTGAAACTTTTCTCAGGAAGGTAAATCGAGGTCAAATTTTCATTTATTTCATCTAATTGACTTTGCATTTATTTAAGTGTTAGATGGTATATAATTTACTTTATACAGCCCTGTTTATGTAAAAAATGCCAATGACAATAGTCTTTATTCATTGGAATTGATTAATCATTCTCCCTATATTTCCTTTGGGAAAATTGATTTATTATATGTACTGTTTGGTATATGTTCTGTTTGGTATACATCCGAGGATGGGGAATGGATTAAGTACGTATACTGAGGTACCACTGTACATTTGAAGTTTGTTGTTGTTTGTTGTTCTGTTACTTTTTGTGTTTACTGAGAGATATCATTGCTTATAAATACAGGTTAATTGCTTCAGTGTGTTTATTGATCTCCCTAATTATTCTGTTGTTTTTTTAACTCAGTTCAGTTTGCATTTTCTGTTACACGTGGAGATCTCTATGGCCAAGTGGTCAGTCTGTTTGTATTGCTTTCTGAAGATTGTGCCTCTGGTTTCAGACCACTTGATTTCCATCTGTGGGTTCTGGGGCCCCATTTTAAGGGGGGGGGGGGGGGGGGGTTGGAGGTATAAATTCACTGCTAAGGTGACAAACCAACAGTCTGTATACAAATAAATCAGATCTACCGGGAAGGCTAACCCGGTCAACAAATGCCCGCAGAAGCCCCCTTTTCCCCCCCAAATGGGTGCTCAGAACCCAAACAGGGTAGTGAACAATCAATCGTACATGACAACTTTTGCATCAGAGGTATAGGCATTCTTTTGAGTTAGCTGTCACATCTACAAAACAGTATACTCTGTTTTCTGATCCGCATGTGTTAAAAAAATAAAAGTTCATCGCTGGCCTAGAATATGGGAAAGCCTTAAATTTAACATCTCTGTGGCAATTTTTTTTTAGTTAAACACTGAAATGATATAAATTTAGACTTATGTTTTATATATATATATATAATTTCCAACAAAATTTATGTGTAGGCTTTCTTCTGGCACTTTGGTTTTGTTTTATAGCTCAGATTGTTTGCTTTATTTAGGAAATGAGAGAGGAGGTTATGACAGGGGGAATTACAACAGTGACAGAGGAGGCACCTACAGTGACCGTGGAAACTATGCTGGCGACAGAGGAGGAGGCTACAGTGATCGAGGTGGATTCAGTAACCGTGGAGGAGGTGGTGGAATAAAAAGTGGGTAAGTTGAGTTAAGTTAAGAATTGACATCACAGCACTCGGGGCATTCCTATGCATGCTCCCTCCTCATCTTCAGCAGCCAGCGCAGAGTTGCAATACTGATTGTATGTCCGTCTTGCCTTTCCTCTGAGTTTAGTGAGCTGGCCAGACCCTCTGATTTCACCCACAAGCCTCATTCTCTCCAGGCCATGACATCTTATATCTCTACTGATTCCGTTGCTTGTTCCCAAAGGACCTTGACCACATCTGCCTTGTCATGTATCAATTCACCACCCAGTGGTGCAGATCCAGCCAATCTGTCTACCTGTTCATTACCCACCACACTGGCATAGCCTGGAGAAAAGATCCAAAGTATGTTCACTACTCATGACCTTTCAAGTGAAGTTTGCGACTCTGCTTGAAGCATCCCTGTCTTAGTTACCAGTAAGTATGGTGGAATATATAAATTTAAATATTAAGAGACCCATTTTCACACCTTGAGGCATATGGTAACAAAAGTAAAAGACCCTTTTGATATATATATGTGTGTGTTTGTTCTATACAAGAGCCTCACACACTGCAATTTTTAGTGGGTATTTTTTTTTAAAACTAAATCCTTGATGTGGATTTAAACCCAGGGCCTTAGAGCTGGCAGCCATGCATCTGATTGCTATGCTACCATGGTTCCCTTGTATGAAGAGCATAAAATAATTGACTGTCTTGGAGACAAAGTAAATACATATTTAGGCTATCAAGGAACCACTTTTGTCAGCTGTGAAATGTGTCAGACTTGCCTGGTTTTGGGTCATGCTTCACATCTTGGGACCCTCACAGAGGCAATCTCCTGGAACCGTTGAAAGATCGAATGAAGAGGAAGAGGAGAAAATGCTGGACAGATTATGTTATTTCTACACTAGTGTGCGTTTCTGAGAACAGTGTGCAGTGGGGAACTTATATACTTCTGTTTTGACATCCTTATTACCTATGTATGGCTGTGAATCCTGGACAATCGGTAGGCAGGCAAAAAATTTCTTGAGGCCTCAGAGATGTGGTTTTACAGAAGAATGCTTAGAATACCTTGGACAGCCAAAAAGAGCAACCAAGAGGTTTTGAAAGAGTCGGGAGCCCGAAGACAACTTATCACAGACATCAGAAGGAGACAGTCATCATTTTTCGACCATGTTATAAAAAGAGGGAAAATAGAACATTTTGTGACCCCTTGGAAAGATCTGTGGAAGGAGGAATAGAGGAAGACAACGAGACAAGATTCTTGACAGTCTTGTTGCATGGCATGGAGGTGTATCGGCACACGAACTGATACATGCTGCAGGAGATCGCAGATTATGGAGAGGCATGATCGCCCATGCCAGTCGGCAAGGCGCCTGATGATGATGATGATGATGATTACCTATGCCTGAGGTTAAGGGTTGAAAGAGAGATATTCATTCATTTATTATCCTGTTGTGTCACATTGGGCTCCTAGTCTGTTTCTCCATTCCAATCTATCCTATGCAGTCACTTGGATATCATGGATGGTATTAGTCCCGCACCTTTGGCTTCTTTCATCAACATTTATCTTGTGGTTTCTGTTGGACATCCCCGTTTCCTCAGTCCCTCTGTTTCCACATTTTAATGCATTGTTTGGTGATTCTTTGTTCTTCTTTTCTCAGAATGTGTTGAAGGGACTGAGGTGCTATACTGATTCCAGTTTATTCTCATATATGTATATTGGTTAGCCCTTGCTTTTTTTCCAAGCAGTGTTATATCGTTCTATTGAGAGTTACAGCTAATAGCTATGGGAAGTGCAGCTAATAAAACCTGCTCATGTTGAGAAAGGTCGTGCACAGTTAGAGCATGGGGTTCTGAGACTTTTGTTGCCATTTATAGGCTTTTACTTAGATACTCAGTTCAAACTGTTGTTCCCCGTGTGTGTTCGGGGCCCTATTATAGGGAAAACAAGAATAGATCCACTGCCTACCCAAAAGCAAGTCGTAAGAGTCAACTAATTGGGAGCTTCCTTCGAAGTCAGAGTGCATCTGCCTAAGAGACAACGAACCAACTGTCTGTCAAACGGATGCACACGCAACACTCAAGCTTTGGAACAGGACTGCAGTCCAGAATTGGATGAACAACCAGAACTTTTCGCAGGAAAGCTAGTGAACGCGAAGAAGAAGAAACTCGAACTGTGTTTGTGTTTGTATGTATATTCTTCTTCTTGTACATTTTGCTCCCAGTGACACATAGACCCTCAACCAGCTCTCACTGTGTGTGCGTGCGTGTGTGTATATATATATATATATATATATATATATATATATATATATATATATATATATATATATATATATATATATATATATATAATTGTGTGTGTATAAATGCAGGTTTGATCGGGGTGGATTCAGTAATCGTGGTGGCTACGATCGCCGAGGTGGTGGAGGGAACCAAGGTGGCTATGGTCGAGGTGGCGGTGGTGTTGGAAGTTTTCAGCAGCAACAGTACAATGACAGGTGTGTACTTGCTGTTGTTTTGTTAAAATGTAATCTGGTAGTCTTAATTTCAGCTTCATAGCATACTGGTCACCCCATAGTTGCTCCGCTCCTGTGCCAACAAAAAAGACACAGAATGTTTATCACAGTCCCTTGTGGAAAGATTTACAGACTGCTGTCTCAGCATATGCACTATCATAAGCACACATTAAAAGCATACGGTAGCCATCCGCAGTGCTAACACAAACAGTCCGACATTAGAAATACAGTTGATCATGGATGCTAGCAGAAGTCACCAACAGATCAGCAGGTGCACAGACGATCAATTTTAATCACATAATGGCACCACCAACATTGCGACAACAGGCATCGTGCTATTTTCTGAATCTACTATTCACACCACCACGGTCACAGTCGAAAAACATTCCAAATGAAATCCGCAGCTCACAGTGTCACGCCATGCACTTAACTTAGAAGCTGGGCAACAAAACTATATCCCTTCAGTCTACAAATGGAGCAAAAATACAGCGGCCACTGTCTGGCAGAAGCAAAAAAATGTCCCTTGGCTCAAAGCAGTGACCATGCCTAGTGTCCATTTAAAATGTTGAACATGCTGGCTTGTCATCAGTCTTTTGCTTTCATTAAAGTTTTTTTTTTTTTAATAATTACCGACATAGTGTGGGGGGGGGGGGGGGGGGGGTGATGTGTTAATTAATTTATTTAGTGTTGGGACATAAAGGAAGATTTGCCGTTGACAAAAAAAAACTGCTCTCATAAAAAAAGTTGTAAAGTTGTAGTATATGCGGCGGACCACGAAGACAGTTGAGAGATCAAGAGATAATATACATGCAGATACATGCGGAAAGAGAAATCCATTCAAATAGAGATGAATGGAGGCGTATGATATCTGCAGCAATGAATTTAAAGGTCTGGTAATGCTGAAAAGAATAAGAAGGCAAACTACAGATACATTTTACCCAGCGAATTGCAACACATTGAGTACTTCTTAACCCAGAGATGAGTTCAGATTCTTATTGTAAAGCTTATCCTGTGCTAAATGTGGTAAAGGTTTGAAACATTAGAGCCTTCATTTATACTAGACTGATGACTGAATGAAGTGCGAGGGCTAGTTCCTCCTTCTGTGTCTTTCTTTCAAAATGTTTGTAAAATCCTGGGAAAAAAAATCAACAGTGTGAAAAGTAAAGGACCCTTTTCCACGCCTTTAGGCATATAGGGCCAGGCCTATATTTTTATAGACCGATCGGCACAAGATGGGTGATGTGGTCAGCATCATGCCGGCTGCCTCTACTTCCCGGGACTGCACCCGGTACTCACTCAAGGCTGGGTCGAACTGGGAGCCAAGGTCATGTAAATAACAAAACAAAACAAGCATGGCTCTGCCAGGGAGCGAACCATTTACAGTGTAGCCTTTAAAAAAATGTTCTTTGATAAGCTACATGTTTTTTTTTTTTTCTGATTAAACCATGATGTTCTTGCTGATCTCTTTGTCTGACCGGCTATTAAATTAGTGAAAACTTATTTGTAAGCTGCTGAAATGTAGTTTTATAGACGCATGATGAAAGTACTCTGGACAGATTAAAAGAATTATGAAGACATCTTGAAAGAAACTGACTGATGAAAAGAACTGATTGCCTACATCAGAAAGAGACAGTCTACATTCTATAGTCAGATGATGAAGAGAAAACTTGGCTACCAACGCCACATGGCATGGACTTTAAAAAAAGAAGAAGAGGAAGAAAGACTTTTAAATATTTGTTGTTACCTTATTAGCAGCTGCCATTTTTATGTTTTGTCATTAGGGTTTTAAGTTAATGAATAAATATTTACTTTTTTTTTGGATAGGGGTAATGACCGTTGGAACAAACCGGCCAACATGCAGCAGATGCCACCTGGTGGAAACAGATGGGACGCTCTGCTTGAGGATCGAGACCGTGAGCGTCGAATGGGTGGACAAGGCTACAATCGTTGGGACAACCGTATTGACAACAACGGTGATGAAGTTCGGGGTGAAGACTGGTCCATACCCCTACCAAAAAATGAAAGACTGGAAAAGTAAGCCATTTTTTTTTTTAGGTTATCTGTGCCTGGTACGCTAGCTCAGTTGGTTAACCAACTGCGCGGTGACTGGCTGACAAACTATTTTTAGTTCGAGTTTGCGCTTAAGGGTAGGCAGAAAAGCTGCATATTTCTCAGATTTACGGTATATGCCTTGGAATCAAGGCCAAAGGATTGCGATATCCACAGTACATAGCCAAAAGGTTTACAACCCTTAGTTTCTGAACTAAAAAAAAAAATATATCATTCACCAGCTTCTTTATCAAGTGCCTTGCTGACCGTGACCGGCACATAGCTTCTCCTCCACAACTTGCAATCTACAAATTCTTCGGTCAGTTTTGTATGCTGACCCATTTCCATGACAAGAAAATAGGCTACCTGTTGTGGGGTCCTGGGGTCCATTCTGGAGAGGAGGCAGTGATTGAAGAATAGATCCATTGTTGCCTAACCAACATGATGTAAGTAAAAAACAGTAAAGGACCCTTTCCACGCCTGTAGGCGTATAGGGCATATAGGGCTAGACCTATATTTTTATAGACCAACGGCACAAGATGGGTGATGTGGTCAGCATCACGCCGGCTGCCTCTACTTCCCGGGATTGCACCCGGTACCCACTCAAGGCTGGGTCGACCTGGGAGCCAAGGTCATTTTTGAAGAAAAGTCCGTCTCCGCCAGGGAGCGAACCCACGACCTTCCGATCCGCGGCGAGCGTAACATGATGTACAAGGCGACTAATTAAGGGGGTGTTTCCTTCAAAGCAGCTGGTGACACATCGGATTGGTTCGAGGTGCAGATGGGAGTGAGGCAGGGGTGCATTTTCTCACCATACTTATTTAATATATACGCATAAAATATAATGAGAAATGTCAAAAATGACCAGACTTGTGACAGTTATGATCCGCTCAGAATTTGGTGGCAACCATATTCTGGAACTTCGCTACGCAGATGACACAGTCCTCCTTTCGAACAGCGTGAAGGGAATAGAAAATTTAATATTGTCTGTCCAAAAACATAGCGAAGATTAAAATCTGTTCTTGAATTTAAAGAAAACAAAATTAATGTCTACAGATTAAACTGGCTGTCACCCAAAAAAAAAAAAAAAAAATGGTGAAAAAAAATTGAAAATATCACAAACTTTGAATATCTAGGCTCTATAATAAATAGCAATGGAGACTTCTTAACAGATATTAAAAGAAGGATGGCCATAGCAATGCAAAGCCTAAAAAGTATATGGTTAAGCACCATCAAGGAGATCAAAATTAGAATTTTGAGAGCATGCATCTTTCCTATAGCAACATACGGATGAGACTTGAGTTTCTTTCAGGCAGACCGTGATGAAAGCGACGTTCTGCAAAGGACCTGCTTCATGATGATGATGATTCCTTCAAATTCGGAGTGTATCTGCCGGAGTATCCCGGAACTAACAATCTGCATATGAATAAGCCATGTCTGTCCAACAGATTTCTTTCTTTCTGTTTTTTTAATTTTTTTTTATTTTTATTCTGATCACTTAGTTGACTTTTTTTTTTAAACTCCAAGAACTTTTTTAACAAAAGTTACATTTACTTATGGTACTGTTTTATTCTATTTACTAACTTTACTTTTTTTTTTTTTTTTTTTGGTCTACTTTTTCAAAAATCTGATTTACTTACTTTACTTTTTTTTTTTAAATTATTCCAGTGCATTACTGTGCTTTTTAATTTTTTTTAATCTTACATTTCCCAGTTTCTATGCTCTGCCCTTATCATAAACAATAGCCTTTCCTTTCAGTGAGTTGTTTGAAGGTGGAAACACAGGCATCAACTTTGACAAGTATGAAGATATCCCTGTTGAAGCCAGCGGAGACAACTGTCCAAAGAACATTGAAAGTGTAAGTCACAGGATTTCTGTGGTCATTGTTTTCTGAAGTTGATACTTTTAGAAATTATTACTAGCAAATGACCTGCCTACAAATCTGGAGTGAATCTGGTAATCTGGTAATCCTAGTTTCAGCATCATAGCAAACGGGTCACCCCATTGTTGCTCCGCTCCTGTGCCAACGAAAAACACTCGTAGCTCACAGTGTCACACCATGCACTCAACTCAGAAGCTGGGTGACGAAACTATATCCTTCCAGTCTACAAATGGAGCAAAAATGCAACGGCCACCGCCTGGCAGAACTGCCACGGCTTTAAAAAAAAAAAGTGGTCGTGCCTAGTGTCCACTGTGACTTGAAGCATTATGTGAGGGGTTAACAAATGGTCACCCCAGCAGTACCCTCACTATTAGCTGGGAAAGTGACTTAGGACATTTTTTCTATCCACCAGCAGGCGTCGCCCCTACAACGACCTGACTGCCTTCGTTAACGACTGTTCACCCAACAGCCATGCAGTTCTTTGCACGAAGGAGACACCTTGAACTTGGGTTTCGGAATGCCGACTTCCTACAAAATGTTATTTTGTGTTTTGTTATCACAATCGACGTCATGCACATTGGGCATACCCATTTTGTGCGCAGTCCTCCGAAGCAGCAGCCACTCCAAAGTACTTCTACTAATTGTCCCATGAGAAGCTGGTTATATTGTCTCCTTTCTAACGCCTCGCAGACGGAAAAGACGTGCTTCACCATGTTTTAACTAGCCCATGTCACGCAATCGTGTTAGTGTCAGGGATTCGATATTATCCACTAGCCCAGTACGTACAGCGTTAACGATATCTGCTCTGTCCATGCTTTTTCTCGCAATCATTAGTGCTGTGCTTGCCAGTTGGTCCGCTCGCTCATTTCCCTTTACGCCCGCATGACCCGGTGTGTAGATCCAGGTTACGGAAGTTAAGTGCGATTTCCGAATGCTTTCTATCCATTCAGAGCGCATACTGCCTGTTGCTATTTTCTGAAGCATATTCATGGAGTGAATAGACTCACTGTCCCAGGAGGTTTAGCATCAGAGGCCCAAGGGGTGGTAATGCAGTGTCGCACATTAAAACAAACCATGCTAACTGAACTTCCACGCAACATACACAAATTATACATCAAGTCACCAGTGATTGTTTAGGAATTAAATTACAATACTGTTACAAAAATAAATTGTGTTAGTAGTTAATTGCTAGTAAATTAACGGATGATACTTTTGAAGAAATTAGAATGAAGTAATATTTTTTCTATTTACCACCATGGCGCTCAAGGAAACTGATAAAAAATATCCAAAATGAATCAGAAATGTATACGAACCACTTAGTAATGTATCAATTAAATATTAACACAATATGCCCATTAGATCTTGTTCCATAATAACTTTTAAAACGTCATGACAGAACGCCATTTTTTGTTAAAGAAAAATGACCTCCGAAAACATTTATTTTCACAACAAAATACAGATTTACAACGCTCAGTTTTGCCCCTAGTTTTATAGCTTATGTTCTCAGTGATACAGGAATCACACTAGACCTTACTGACACTGAAGAGTATTTACTTTTTTCGCTATTATTTTTTTCTTTGTACCAGCTGACTTTGTTATCTTTGTACGCTTTGCGTGAGGTATATATCAGAGCTATCCCTCATCAAAGTTTAGCTGTCAGTGACTGAAACAAGTCTTCTACATAAATTTTCTTTGTTTAGCTTCGAATAAATCTGATAAACATGTGTTTTAATATGAGGTTTCTAAAGTCGTAAATCTTGTTGGCAAGCATGAGAAATATTTTCAGAGGCCGTATTGTTTTCACACAGACACTTAGTAACTTGGTAAAGCTTACAAACATGCTACATTTTGTGCCTTTAACCACGTTTCTAAGCCTAATGGTCAACACGTGTGACATCAAACACAAAGAACAGGAAATACCATTCAGAACTGCCAGTTTGCGTTGTTATGCTGGCCAGTGGTCAATTAAAAACCAGTATGCGGTAGGCGCTGATTTGGTGGCATTAGCGCATGATGCGTCCCTTGAGTTTCAAAGAGTTAACAAGCATGCCGTATGAGGTAACTAGTTGAGGATTTGCTGAAAAATTGGTTGAGCTGGTTCGAAAGTTGCATATACTCAGTTTTTAACCTCTCTGTCATTCAATCATTTTTTTCTTTATCCCTATTCCCTTTCAAATTTTCTCCCTCCGCTTAGCACGGTCCTTGGCATTTTGTTCCCACTAATCTGCCTCATTACCCGCATCAACAAACTGCACACATCTTTGTATCAATTAACTGTTGAAAATGTGTTTTTGTCTAGGACTGCCATTCGCAACAACATTGCCCTGATGAAATACAACAAACCAACGCCTGTTCAGAAATTTGCTATTCCCATCATTCTTGCTAGGCGAGATCTAATGGCCTGTGCCCAGACAGGTAGGTGGTGGTTTTTCTTTTTCTTCTTTCATCAATAAGTAGGTTCACTTATGCTCTGCGCTTTCTTCCTGTAGGTTTTGCAGCCCTCATATTTTGGAAAGAGGAGAAGGGTTAAACACACAGCCTCCCTAACAAGCATGCCATAGAAAACAAATAATTAAGCGTAGTGACCTTCAAAGCAAGAGTGAATCATCCTGAGAGGCAAGGAGCCAACAGTCTGCATACAAATAAGCCAGATCTAGGGGAACAAATGTGCATGCCAAACTCATATCTGGAACAGGACCAAATTCCAGAAGTGGATGAACAACCAGAACTTTTTGTTGGAGTTTACAGCCATGAGCGCTAAGAATAGGAGAGCTTATGAGCACACGCAGAAAACCATTATATTTTTGGGTAACTATAGCTGCTATAAATGTTTGTGTGTGTACAAACACACACACACACACACACACACAAAGATGAGAAGAATAAATACATTTCGTAACACAGATTGTGTTTGACTGGGAATCTTAATGACAAGGAAAAGGAGAAATCACAAGTTTCAAACAGTCTTGATAAGACCAGTATTAATTAATGGCATAGCTTTCAGTGAAACTTGTGTTCTTCTACTTCTAAACATTTTAAATTTAGCACATTTTGGTGTACAAGCATAATAATTTCCTAACTGGCGCAAAGGAGTAAATCCAGCCACACATGGTGCCTTATTTGGGACTGAAAGTCTGAAAGAGTTAAAATAAAAAAAAAGTAACACAGCAGTCATTTAATGTTGGGAGTTGGTTATAACAAACTTGAACTTGATATTTGTCATGTATTCATTTGTCTCATAGGGTCTGGCAAAACAGCTGCTTTCCTTGTCCCGATCTTGAATCAGATCTACGAAATGGGCCCTGGAGAGTCAGCCAATCCTTCAGGAGGTCGGCAGTATGGCAGAAAGAAAATGTTTCCATTGGCGTTGGTTTTGGCACCAACCCGTGAATTGGCTTCCCAGATCTATGATGAAGCCAGAAAGGTGAGAAACCCCTTATTACTAAATCTCTTCCCGCGCTGCCTCACAATATTCTGTGCTAAGATTGGCCTTAGCAGGAACCACACATTAGCACCTTTCCGTCTTTCCAGACGATAGTGTTATATTGCCCTATGTGGAGGCATGAGACTCGCAGCCCATGGCGATGGCGTGTATGACTCGATTAAGGCCAGGGATGAAGTTCCTCCTCTCCTTAGCACAAAGCCTGGGCAGCATTGTAGAGACCATATGTTGCCCATGCATGATGATCCCTTCCTCGACCTGCCTTGTTTACTCCAAAGGAAAGGTAACACCAGTACGTTTGAAACAAGGCAGGTTGCAGAAGCTGCCAGATCAAAAGAGCAGTGCATGGTCCCCCCCGCTGCTGCCCGACCCACGCCGCTGGCACAATATGGGATGAATGGGTAGCCCAACACGCCTACATCCGCCCAACATTCGGCGTAAAAGAAGACAGGTGGTACCGGCTACTGTTATACGGTAGCTCAGTCATATCTGACCAAGACCTGACGACCACACACCCACCTCTAAATACCACCTTCATGTAATCAAGTAATCACAGTTCCACTTTCACAGCTCATGGATCTCCACACTGCTGCTGTTTCTGTGCCAACAAAACCCACACAGAGTGCCTGTCTCTGTCCATTGTGCAATATTGTGGCACAGACTGAAGTCTCTGCAAAGCTAACAGCATACATAGGCATTGATATGTATGCCCAACACGCCTGAAGGCATGGGGAAAAAAGGGTCCTATACTTTACTATAATTAAGAGAGAGAAGTGTTCTGAGTATACTTATATCTACTGAACTGTTGTTTACTCCAGTTTGCCTACAGATCTCGAGTCAGACCCTGTGTTGTATATGGCGGCGCAGACATTGGTGCACAAATGAGAGACCTGGACAAAGGATGCCACTTGCTGGTGGCCACACCAGGCCGTCTAGTGGACATGATGGAGAGAGGCAAAGTTGGACTGGATCACTGCAAGTAAGAATGTTTGGTCACTGTCTTCAGAAATTGGGCTGTCATTGTAGTGATTAGTTATTCATCCTTGATGCATATTGAACCATTCAGTCCACAAGTGCTAAACCATCTCAGTCAGCACAAAAAATGATGTGCCAGTGTCAACACTCAGGTTCATAGAGAAGGACTGCAGTTCAAAAGTCCCCATGAACGATTACTACAACACTAAATCCACCACAGTGTCACACTTGATTCAATGGTGAACACGAAGAAAGATAGAAGTTATATTTTATATACTATCTTGAAAATTGAAATGTACTTCGATACCAAAATAAATCGCCATTTAAAGCAGATACAGCAGTTAATATAAAAAATCACTTTCAGTGTTTTCAAATTAAATTTCTTAGCAGTTCAGCGGCTATCGGACCTATTTTCTTCAGTGTTTCAGGAAGCGAAAGAGTTGAGAATGATACTATTAATACATTCAGCATGGACATGACATAATTTTTTTTTTTTTTAAACATTGTTTCCTTGCACATAAATTCTTGTGATTTTCATTTGGTAGGTTCTTGGTTCTTGATGAGGCGGACAGAATGTTGGACATGGGTTTTGAACCCCAGATCCGGCGCATTGTAGAGCAGGACAACATGCCCCCCTCTGGAAAGAGACAAACCAACATGTTCTCAGCCACTTTCCCTAAAGAGATTCAGGTGTGTGAGATCTTTATTTATTCTGTTTTCTGTGGTTACAATGGGGGAAATGTATACACTGGAAACAGGGTCTAACTGTTCTTCTGTGTTATGAGGAGTTGCTGAAAAAGTGCTCAGTCTTATATCAGTAAATTTAATTTTGAATATCCCCCTATGGGTTCCGGGGTCCCGTTTTGGAAAAACAAAAATAGACCCACTGCCTCCCCAGCAAGCACAATGTGAAATTCGACTAATTAGGGGCTTGTGCCTGAGAGACAAGGAATCAGCAATCTGCATACAAATAAGCAAGAAGTGTAAAACGGATGCAAAAGCAAAACTCTGGTCCTGGATCAAAGCTGAAGTCCAGAAATGGAGGAGCAGACTACAGACCAATTGGCACTGAATAAATTATGTGGTCAGCATCATGCTGGCTGCCTTTACTTCTCAGGACATGTCCTGGTAGCAGTTTAAGGCTGGATTGCCTGCGAGCCAAGGTCATTTTAAAAGTCCGCCACGGCGTGAAGATCGAACCCCAAATTTTTGATCCAGTAGGCAAGCACTCTGCTAGCATGGGATCTAGAGGGATTCAGCCATACACACATCTATGCTGAAACTGGACACATTGACATGTGAGTGCACTTAACGTTCAAAAGTGAATGAAGAAAACCTTTTATGTGTAGTAATATTGAAGTAGACCCCACTTCCTTGTCTGATTTTTTTCTGTAATTTATTTTAATTTGAGAATAGTATGTACACCCAAATGTCTCCGTTTCAGCAAAACAGCAAATGGTGATTAGCATATTTATCTCTACCTTGTGTTTCAGTGCCAAACATGGACAAGGAATAGGGCCCTAGATCATAAAATAACTGCCAATAACTGCCTTTATTATACCATTTTGGGGGAGGGGGTGCCTTTGAGCCTGAATATTTACGGCTGCATGGCTAGTGCTTTCGCCACGACTGTACAGGTGAGAATTAAATTTTGCCCCTGACAAGAAATCCCCAGCCCTACTGATGATTCGAACCTGGGTCTCATGTTTGAGAGCCTAGTGTTCTAAAGGTTTGGCCAGCCACTCTTTACAGAAAAGAACTAGATGTGAAATACACTGTCGTCTCCTTGAGGTAACTAACAACACAAGAAGAGACAGGGTTGCAAATACCAACATTGGAGAGAGAGTTGGAATAAAACCGTGCCTGGATTATATTCACAAAGAATGAAATGGTTGAGCCATCTAGTGAGAATACAGCCAGACCAAACTGCATATGAGACTTTTTACAGCAGAACATCCGGGAGGAAGGCGAGAGGAAGATCAAGAAAGAAATGGAAAAATTTTGTAGCTGAAGTCTGCAAAAAGGTGGGGAAAAAATCTATCGCCCATGCCAGCCGAGAAGCACAAAAAAAATACAGAAAATCATGACACTAGACTACAACCTGGTATCACTGAGAGACATCAAAAGAAGAAGAGAATAGTATGTGCCTAAAGAAAATGACACTTTTCCACACAACTACCCTATCAAGCAGAAAATTCTGGACTCCTATTTTTATTTTTTTAAATCACAAAGCACTTGATTATCGATTCAAGAACACGCTGACTATTGACTATCTTTACTTCCGAAGACCTTCCTGGTACTTATCTAGAGCGGTGTTGACCTGGAAGCCGAGGTCAGCTTTTTTTTCTCAAAATCAGCCCAATGCAGATTTGACCCCCACAACCTTTAGGTAGGTAGGCAGGCAGGCAAGCACCCAGCCACTACACCACAGTGGTTCCCTCTGGGCATAAAAACATTTCCCAGAGCATATCTTGTTGCCCATTTTAGGCTAGACGAGACCAGATCTTTTATGAAAATTCACCACGATGTGGATAGGAACATAATATCTTCCAGTCTGCAGTTAAGTATCTAACCACTACGCTACCACGAGATTTTGAGAATGTTTAACTCTTTCGTTATCAGGCAGATGTTATTTGATTTATTCAGATATTTTACTTCAAGAAATACATTTTGAGTCAGTTTGGGTTAAAATAACAACACTGTTAAAGAAAAATGGATAAAGTAACAAGTGGAGCAGTGTAGGTTAATGTAACAACTGGATTTGGCATCAAGAGTTCAGGAGAATGTATAATGACTGTAGGACTCGGCAAGCGGATTGTGAGTTGCATGGTACTGAATGAGTTAGCATTCCGAGGAAACTTGTGTTTGTATTCAGCCAGTTTTTTTGTGTGTTTCTCTCAACAATGCAGATTCTGGCCAGAGATTTCTTGGAGAACTACATCTTCCTGGCTGTTGGTCGGGTGGGCAGTACCAGTGAGAACATCACTCAGAAGGTTGTGTGGGTGGAGGAGCAGGAGAAGCGCTCCTTTTTGCTGGATCTTCTGAATGCAGCCAGAGGTGAGTAGCTGATGTGTTGTCAGGTTAATTAACCCTTTGGAGACGGAGCCTTTTTGGAGTTTTGTTGCCAAGAACATGGAGACTTCAGGAGGGGATTCTCATAGTTTATCCACAAACATTTAAAAACTAAAGCGTTTAATTAACATATAAAAAAAAACTAAATATATTCTTGTAGGAAATTGAATGAACTAACAGAATAATTATGAATCAAACTGAAATGTCAAAATTGATTCAAATTGACTATTCTTCTTCTTCTTCGCGTTCACCGGCTGTAAACTCTGACGGAAGTTTCTGGTTGCTCGTCCACTACTGAACTGCAGTCCTGCTCCAGAACCTGAGTGCTGCGTGTGCATCAGTTTTACAGATCTCATTCTCTTGAATACAGACTGTTGGTTCCTTGCCTCTCTGGCAGATGCACTCCGACTTCAAAGGAAGCTCCCCAATTAGTCGACTCTTACTACATGCTTTTGGGGAGGCAGTGGGTCTATTCTTGTTTTCCCCACAATGGGGCCCCGGAACCCACACACGGGGGGTTTTTGGACTAATTCTGATTTGCATAATTCATTTGCTACGACGCAATAGTCCTTTTCGCCAGGTAACCCCAGAAAAGAAATTGATGTAAAATTTCAGAAAACATCAAACTTTCTCAAAAGCCACCAATGAACCGTCCACATGGGCAAGAAATGCGAGAAAGCAGTCTGATTGGCTGGTACGAAAACCTGCCAGCCATTATAAAGGCTTCTTTTAATTGGGCCGACTGATCGGCCCAGTCATCCTTTTGGCTACTTTCTGTTGGGCCGATATTTCGGCCGGGTCGTCTCCAAAGGGTTAATTAATTCATTCATTGTCCTGTGGTGCCATTGTGTGTCACATAGGGCTCAAGTCTTGTTTCTCTGTTCCATTCTGTCCTGCGCACTTCGATATTGTGGATGGAATCCAGTCTCCACCATCTTTGGTTTCTCTCACTGTTTGCTTTAAAATTTCTTTTGGACATCCTTGTTTCCTGAGTCCCTCAGTTTCACATTTCACTGCCTGTTTAGGGATTCTCTGTTCGGCTCTTAGAATATGTCCAGTATCATTATCATCATCAGGTGCCTTGCCTACTGGCGTGGGCAATCATGCCTCTCCACAATCTGCGATCTCCTGCAGCATGTATTAGTTTGTGTGGTGACACACCTGCCATGCAACAAGACTGTAAAAAATCTTCTTTCGCTGTCTTCCTCTGTCCCTCCTTCCACAGATCTTTCCAATGGTCACATCATGATCCATTTTCCCTCTTCTCATAACATGGCCAAAAAATGATGTCTGTGATTAGTTGTCTTCGGGCTCCTGCCTCTTTCAAAACCTCTTGGTTGCTCTTTTTGGCTGTCCAAGGTATTTTAAGCATTCTTTTGTAAATCTCTGAAGCCTCAAGAAATTGATTGTGCCCCTGCATAATTATAAAGCCATCTTCTCTGTCTTATAACTGTTAATACTATTGGTTGCCTGGACATTTCACTTATTTCTTATATCATATTAATGGTTTGGTTTTAATGATGTGAGTTCAAGAAACATACACACACTGTCTTAGATCTTCCATGTATGGATTCCAGTCACCCATTTTTGAGAGAGAAAAAGATAATTAAACCCCCCCCCCCCCCCCCCCCCCCCCCCCCCCCCCCAAATCAGGCATGATGGATGTAAAAAGTGACACATTTGGGGTGTTTACTTACTTCCAAGTGGGAGTATATCTGCCTGCGAAGTAAGAGGCTAATAGTGTACACAAATATACCAGATCAGTTTACAAAAAAAATATATATATTTGCAACGTGCGCTTAAAACTCAGGTTCTGGAGGGGGAAAAGCCAAAGACCAAAGGTGGATGAAGACACAACTTTTTTCCATAGTTTACAGATGGTGACCACTAGGAGAAAGAAGAAATCTTACACACAACTGCGCCCTCCCCCCCCCCCCCCCCCTTTTCCTTTCTCACCCCTTAAAAAACAACAACAAAACAACTATACTAGTCATCAGGGAAGCTTCGACAGGCAGACGGAGCATGGCTTCTGTTTTTTCCTAATGGCGTTGTTGTTGCAGAGAGGTTCAGAGCTCGGCATCTGAGAAGTAGCACATTAAAAACACATACAGTGGCAACATTGGTGCTGAAATTCCTCATTATCCACTAGCCCAGTCCGTACAGCGTTGACGATATCTGCTCTGTTCATCATATTTTTTCCCGCAGTCCTTAATGCAGTGCTTGCCATTTGGTCCGCTGACGCATTTCCTTTTACGCCTCCATGACCCGCTATGTAGATCCAGGTGAGGGAGGTAAATTCCCGTCCTTTGCTACCGCTGCCAAACATGGTCCCAACAAATTAGGAAAGAAAATTAGTAACCATAGAAATGATATGTTCAAAAAAGGCTGGACGGAGTGACCAGAATGAAGGAATAAAGTCACAAGAGAGACAGTAGGCACAGAACGAGTATTAAAGTACATTTTTTTTAAACTTCTTTTTTGTATTCAATTTTATATGCTCAGGTCAGACCATCAGGTGGGTTGCCTGTATGAACTCACGTGTCAGCAGCAGGTCCTTCGTGGTTCCCCCTAGCTTGCTCTGCACACTTTGCTCTTGAGGCTCGGTATCTTTTTAGAGTTGTAGAAAGAGTGAAAGAAGAAGAACCGATTTAAAAACAGCAATTAAACAGGTTTGCCCTCTTAAATAGAGAATGCCTTGTGATGCCAAACCATGCAAGAGATACACCAAATGAGGAGATGGGTGTGGATCATGAGGTAGACAAGACTGAATATAAAGATAACATCAGAGAAACTCTACAGTGGTACACTGCTAGAGACAGCCATAAGAGCGAGAAGAAAAAACGTACATCTCCCTCACCAGGCATTATCCCATATAGTTTGATCTTTCTCATCAGATTGGCCTACCACTTGCCACAGAGCACAAACTCCATAGCTCAGGTGACCAGGGTTTCTCTGTAAAAATTTAACGCCTCCACCCTAAAATGAACCCACGACCTTCAGAGCGCGAGGCAGACAGTTTGACCATTTTGCCACAGAGATCCCCGAAGAAGAAGAAGATAAATTTCTTCACACAGTGAATTTATTTTGGAAGAATTCTAGTGTCATGTTCTTAAATTTTATAAACAACTCTCTAGGGCCAGACTCCCTGACACTGGTGTTTGTGGAAACGAAGAAAGGAGCTGATGCACTGGAGGATTTCTTGCTGAGAGAGGGCTACCCGGCAACAAGCATCCATGGCGACCGCTCTCAGAGAGAGCGTGAGGATGCTTTGCGTATTTTCAAGTGTGGAGACAGGCCTATTCTTGTAGCTACAGCTGTAAGTAGATAATCATGGAGTGAAGATGGAATGTAAAGGGTAAGAGGGTATTCTCTATTGCAGGTTTTATCCTATGTGAGTGTTTGTCTCCACAGAAAGACTGGCTACTTGCTGTGAGTGTCACACAAAGCCGGAACTCAGTAGTTCCAGTGTTGATCCTCAGGGATTTCTATAAACATTGTTTTGACGAGAGAGAAAAACAGTCCGCGAAACAAACCCGTTACCTTCGTTACACAAGGCGAATATCTAGGCCAGATTGAAAGTAGCGATAAAACAATGCAAGGTCAATATGGCAGTGTCTGTGGCTTAGGCATTGTGGACGAGCTTCATAATTCCAAAATATCTAGTTCAATTAGGTTTCAGGCAGTTTAGCAGCAGACCCTCCTTTTGTTGATTTCGGCAGTCGGTGGAGCGCGACCATTCAGAAGCAGTGGCCGACTGGTGAAAGTAAATTGCCCTGTGAAATCACCAACCTGCCAAAAATGTAGAGTTGGTTCTGCAAAGCCCTGTATAGGTTACACAGTTTAACTAAGGTGGAAATAGTCCTATGGAAGGTACTGTTCCTAAAGTGGAAAGTGTTGGGTTTTAACATATTCTAGGCTGTAACTTAATCAAGTGTTTTAAGCCTGTCCCTTTTCTTGCCTTTCCTTTCTAGTGTAAGCCGGTCCAGAGAAGCCAGGTAATGCTCGGGGCTATGTTTTTATAAGCCACCAGTAGCCCCCCTCTCCCGCCCATCCCCCTAGTGTTTGGTAAAGTACAATTTTTGCAGTTGAATAATGTCTCACCATATACTTGAATATAGTATATAGTGATATTGATTAGTATAAATGAACACTGACTCTCATAGTAGGCACTGTCCTGAAAGTGTTAGAAATGTAAGTATTGTTTTATTCTGAGTTGTCTTTTCCAAGCACAGTCATGAGAGTGTTGTTATAGCTGTGGTTTATGGTGTCATTGTTTCACTGGGAGCTAACTGTTCCTAGTAAGCACACAGTCGTGACAGTGTTATAGCTGAGGTTTATGGTGTCATTGTTTCACTGGGAGCTAACTGTTCCTAGTAAGCACACAGTCTGGAAAGTGTTATAGCTGTGATTTATGGTATAATTGTTTCACTGGTAGCTAACTGTTCCTAGTAAGCACACAGTCGTGAAAGTGTTATTAAAGCTGTTATGTTGTCATTGTTTCACTGGGAGGTAACTCTTCCTAGTAAGCACACAGTTGTGAAAGTGTTATAGCTGTTATGTTGTCATTGTTTCACTGGGAGCTAACTGTTCCTACTAAGCACACAGTTATGAAAGTGTTTTAGCTGTTATGGTGTCATTGTTTCACTGGGAGCTAACTCTTCCTAGTAAGCACACAGTCGTAAAAGTGTTATAGCTGAGGTTTATGTTGTCATTGTTTCACTGGGAGCTAACTTTTCCTAGCAAGCACACAGTTGTGAAAGTGTTATAGCTGAGGTTTATTGTGTCATTGTTTCACTGGGAGCTAGCTGTTCCTAGTAAGCAAACAGCCGTGAAAGTGTTATAGCTGAGGTTTATGGTTTGTTTCACTGGGAGCTAGCTGTTCCTAGTAAGCAAATAGCCGTGAAAGTGTTATAGCTGAGGTTTATGGTGTCATTGTTTCACTGGGAGCTAACTGTTCCTAGTAAGCACAGTCGTGAAAGTGTTATAGATGTGGCCCTCTGTTTTTAGATATGAGACTTATAGCCAGCTCAGTCCCCCCCCCCCCCCCCCCCCCCCCCCCCATCATCCACTTCTTAAACCACGGCTCCTTTGTCACCCGTTCCTCTTAAATCATACTAACCCATGAATATTTCTCCACTAGGTGGCAGCAAGAGGCTTGGACATCTCTAACGTGCGACATGTAATCAACTTTGATCTGCCTAGCGACATTGAAGAGTATGTTCATAGGATTGGGCGTACTGGTCGTGTTGGAAACCTAGGTACATACAGTTGTAGCTCCTTTGTTGTGCCTCTTCTTCTTCTACTACGATTGGTCTTCTATTTTTAAAATCTTTGTCCCCCCTCCTCCTCATTTAATGCATCTTCACTGTGTGGGCTACAGGGCCCTGTTGGGGGGAGGGGGGGGGGTGGATGTCAAGAATAAACCCACTGCCTCCCCAACAGGCATGTCATAGTAGTCGACTAATCGGGGAAATTCTTCAAAGTCGGAGTACACCTGCCTGAGAGTCAAGGAACTAAGAGTCTGCATACAAATAAGTCAGATCTGTGAAACTGATGTGCACGCAACGCTTAGGTCAGTGTCAGGAATAAGACTAAAGTCTGGAGGTGATCAAAAACCCAGAACGTTCCACCAGAATTTACAGCCGGTGAACATGAAGAAGAAGAAGATTCAATACATCTTCTTTGTCTTTTTTTTCTTGCTGCTGTTGCTTCTGCTTCTAATTCCTTAAGTGAAATGTTATTGCAGGATGTTGAGATTTTTGTTGTATGTGCTGTTTTCTATGTAATGTGTTTGAGACAGTATATTTTCCCACTTATTTAAAGTTTAAAATTCGGAGTCATCTTATATACAAATGTTATTATAATTTTTATTTCTTAATTTTGGGCTTTAAAAAAATAGAAGTCATCTTATACAGTAGAGCATCTTATACACAGAAAAATGTGGTGGGTCGTGTATGAGTAACTTTTTAACACCATGAATATTGTTACAAGGTCTGGCCACATCCTTCTTTAACGAGAAAAACAAGAACATTGTGCGGGATTTGCTGGATCTTCTGAGCGAGGCTAACCAAGAGGTGCCACCTTGGCTGGAGTCTATGTCCATGGACGTGCGCTCCACAATGGGGATGAGCAGGCGTGGGGGCGGCGGCGTGAGGAGGTAGGTTTGGCTTTATTTTGTTTTCTGTGGCTCCTCTTCTACCTTGGGGTGTAGAGGTTTGCCAGAGAGATCACCAGACGTCTCTGTCAGCAGTTTTCTTTCTGTCTTTGTTCCATTCCGGTCCTCTGTCAGTTAGGGACTGTTGGATGTTGTCTTCCCAGCTCACTCTGGGTCGTCCTGGAGGTCTGGTTCCCTGGTTCTCAGCTTCCCATGCCTGCCATGGTGGCCGATTTTTCTCCCATTCTGCATACATGTCCAAACCATCGTAACTGTGACTGATCCACTCAGGTTTGTAAGGACTGGGTATCAAGATCTTGACGTATTGTCTGATTGCGGACTGTGTCCCTTCTTGTCACTTGGACCACCTTTCTCAGATATCTCATTTCTAAATCCTGAAGCTGGCTACTGTGAGCTGTTGTCATTGCCCATGACTTACACCCATAGGTCAAAACTGGACTTTCATTGCACTGGGTCTCAAATGGCTCAGTGTGTGTGTGTGTGTCTCTCTCCCTCTCTCTCTCTCTCCTTCTCTCTCTCTCTCTCTCTCTCTCTCTCTCTCTCTCTCTCTCTCTCTCTCTCTCTCTCTCTCTCTCTCTCTCTCTCTCTCTCTCTCACGCGAGCTTGCGCGCGCGCACATCTCTCACACACACACACACAAAGTCGAGAGGTGGACACACAACCAGAACTTTTTGCTAAAGTTTACAGCTACAGCCAATGCACGCAAAGAAAACTCCATGTCCTTCCCATCTTTTTCACTTCTAATTATTTTTAATCTGCCTTTTTTTTCCTTTGACACTGTGGGTGTCAGTGCATGGACATTCTATCAATATTGTTTTTAGGTTTTCTTAATGTATGATAAATAATTGGAGATTTCTGTTGCAGGTTTGGAAACAGTGGAGGAGGTTTTGGAGGGCGAGACTATCGTCAGCAGAACAAAACCATGAAACCCAACTTCCCACAAGGAAGCAGTGGAGGAGGAGGCGGCGGTGGTGGTGGCTTTGGTGGCCAGCAGCCATTCAACAACCACTTCACCAACTTTCCTCCTCCCCAGTACAACTACGGGGGAAGCTACGGGGGCACCTACAATTCGGCCCCCGCCAGTGACTGGTGGGGGAACTAGAGTTTCCTGATCTTGTTTGCTGGTTGTAATTGGCATGGCTTTCAGCAAATGAAGTCTGTTTGTTTTAGATGTCAGCTAGCCAGATATTTTTTGGTTAAGTTTTAACTTTCGCATAAAATCATTTTAGCTGACTCGTCAGATCTACATTCGAAAGGTGATTTTTATAAAATGAATAACTAAAAGTCAACATCAGTGCTTTGCAGAAGGCTTGTTAGTTGTCTAATGAGAAGATAGCTAAACAGTGGGCATTTGCCCGTTATTACATTCTTTTTTGGTGTTGTTGATGGTAATAGTTTAACCACATTTGTTTGTGTTGGGTAGGTTTCTAACTTTGATATTAGCCCTTAGTTTCTCAGTCAGTTTTTTTGTCCCTGGTTCTCTTTATCTGTTTCTTCTCTGTCCATGTAACTTTCTTATTTTTCAATTCTTGACAAAATCCATGCACTTCTTATCCATACTCTTCTTCTTCTTCTTTGTTCACTGGCTGTAAACTCCAGCTGAAAGTCCTGGCTGTTCACCCATTTGGACGGCTTTGTGCCGAGGCCTCGGTTTGGCTTCTATAACCGTTTTACTTGCTTATTTTTATGTAATTGGTCCTCGGCACTGAGGCAGATGCAGTCTGAATGAAAGAAACTCCTGACTAGTTGACTCCTAGGACATGCTTGATAGGGAGACAGTGGATCTGTTCTTGTTTTCCCCACAATGGTGCCATTACTGCTAGGAATTTTGTGCATCGTAATTAGAAACATTTTTGATTTCAGCTTTATAGGTGTGTGTTGATACTACCTCTTGCAATAAAAAGCCACTTCACCTCGTCTTCATATTCTCTTCCATTGCAGATTGTCTCCTTTACAAATGATCTCTGAATAATTTCTTCGTAGTCTTCCCATTCGGATGGTCTCCTTTCCAAATTACCTACTCTGTGTATGATTTCTTCATATTGATTCCCCATTCGGATTGTCTCCTTTCCAAATTACCTCTTCTGTATGATTTCTTCAGATTGTCTCCTATTCAGATTGTCTCCTATCCCATACCTTCTCGTATATAGTCTCCTTTCCAAGTTACCTCTTCTGTGTGATGTTCCCTTCAGATTGTCTACCTTCTCTGTTATGATTTCCATATTGTCTCCTTCCAAATTAACCTCTTCTCAGATTGTCTCCCTATTCAGATTGTCTCCTATCCTACAAATTACCTTCTCTGTATGATTTCTTCATATAGTCTCCTTTCCAAATTACCTCTTCTGTATGATTTTTTCAGATTGTCTCCCCATTCAGATTGTCTCCTATCCTACAAATTACCTTCTCTGTATGATTTCTTCATATAGTCTCCTTTCCAAATTACCTCTTCTGTATGATTTTTTCAGATTGTCTCCCCATTCAGATTGTCACCTATCCTAATTATATCCTCTGTGTATGATTTCTTTATATTGTCTTCGCTTTACATTGGCTTCCTCTCTATATTACTTTCTCTTCATACTGTCTCCTTTAATTATCTCTCCTTCAGTTTGCCTCCCCTCTTCTCCATATGAATACCTCTTCCTCCCCATGTTTTTTCTTTATCATATTGCCTTATTATCTTAATCTCCATTTTGTTTCGGTATACTGGCAATGTATTTAGTATTTACTCCAGTATTTACAACAGAAGAGATGGTTTGGCTAAAGTCACAGGTTAAATACTTAAAACTGTTAAGCTTCATTTGCTGCAGCCATGTCAGTTCCGCAGCAACTGGTCACTTAAGCCTGGTTTCCAATTTCACTTATGTCTCAGTCACGCATTGTAGTGCTCTTTTGTCATACATGTTCACGAGGGAACATGCGGCCAGGACCAGAAGTGTTGTTTTTTTTTTTTTTTATTATTACGAAGCTTTGTTTAAACTCTGAAAAATTACAATTATTATTCAGAATTGTTTTTAATTTGTTTGCCAGTTAAGATAGTTTTCTTACACCCTGGTGACACATCATCTGGGGTTTTGTTTACTAAAACGGTTTTTTAAAAAAATTATTGAGTTAAAAAAAAGAACACCTGTTTTGAGACACCAAACTTTCATCACCCAAGTTTTTTTTTTTCTTTTAAATATATGTTCCAGTGTAAAGCTGGATAGATTTTACTTGAAAGGAACATTTAAAAAAAAAAAAAAAAACATTGATGAAACCAAGTTCTTTTGGTGCACATGAAGAACAAACGTGCACCATTTTAGAACTAAGAAAGAAGAACGGAAGCAAGGAGGACCACAAGCCTTAGACAGTTTTGAACTAAATATTGTTCTCTGCCAAGTGGTTGTGCTTGTCTCTTTCAGGATAATTGCATTCTAGGTCCTGTTCACGTTTCCCCGCCCATCAACACACTGGCTGACCTTTCATTCATACTTTCTCAGACTCTTTTACGTCATAGGCATGTCATTTCGTCCTTGCCTCCAATTACATCAGCGCTGATGTTGCATGTTCTACACTACACGACGACACAGCTTTCAACTACCTCAGAACATCTAGAACTGGCCCTAAAATCCCCTCTACCCAAAGCCTGAACCTAGGTCATACACGATAGACTCTTTTTGAAGAAAGCAGTACAATGTGACACCCCTCTGACCTAGGTCAGACTGAGAAAGTGTGTAGATGGGCATGGAAACGTGAACAGGTCGGCATTCTGTAAGAGGCACTTTAACTGTTTTTTATGCTGTGATGCTAACTTGTAGGCTGTCTGCTGATAGGGTTGTCAGTCTGTCTGTCTGCTTTCTTTCAGGTTTTGTGTGTGTGTGTGTGTGTGTCTAACTTTCAAGATAGAATGTGTACTCTTGTACTTTATTGGATAGCGTTGTTTTATGTTTCTTCTTCTTCTTCTTTGTCATCGTCTTCTTCTTAATGTTAACATGTCTGATTGCCGACTGTGTGATGATATCAATGGAGAGCACCACTTAGCAGTGAACAATTAAAGTCAAAATATGTCATAACCAGCAGTCAATTCAACTGAAACTCAGAAGGGGGGCGGGTGTGTACATGTGTGAAGTCACCACTGTGAAGTGTTTGTCACAAAATTATGTTGTGTGATTGTCTGTGCACACACAGCGGGCTCATACACAGATTACTGCCACTACTTTGTTTTCAGTTCTTGACAATGTCATTGATATAAAACATTTAATATATTGTGAACAGATTAGCAATTGTTGTTGTTATGGAAACAAATGCAGTTGAAACAATATTTTCCCCCTCTACCTGTTTACATAAGCATTCCATGAATGCTTTTGCCTCTTTTTATTTAAATTGGTAACTTTATTTGTCCTTTTTTTTTTTTTTTTTTTGCTACGTTCTTTATTCTCTGCTCAGCGAAACAAAGATGTTTCTCTTTGTTTTTTGTCACGTCTTTTCCATTAACATAAAGTACTACAAGATTTATTTTTACAAGTCTCACTCATAATAGTTTTTTTTTTTTTTTGAATGTTTTACGAAACTGACCCATTAATTGTTTTCTTGTTTATTTTCCCGGTGCAGCTTGGGTATTTCATTGCTTCACACAGTTATCACCTGAAGGTGCCTTCCTATAGCCAGTTTTTTTAATACGTTTTTGTTGAGATAAATATGTATGCACACACTCTGCCAGTATTTACTCCATACACTCGATGTTTACAAAACCAGTAACGGTGATGTTTTTAAAACAATTTGCACTGTTAATTTTTTTTTGTTTTTTTTGTCTCCTATCATTTTTTGACAGGGTACGTTGGTCACACATATCACACTATTGTGCTGCCTTTTTTGGGTTTGACATAAGATCAGGATTTCTATTTTTGTATATATTCTTTTTTTGGAAATCTTTTTATAAGAAGAAAATTTGCAATAATAAAATAAGGGTCAGTGAATATAATCCAGTGCCTACGATATAATGGGATTGGGATCATATTGGATGCAGGCTTTATCGATACTGTAAATATAAGAATGCCTGCATTAATTTTCATTGAAGGAAATGTGAACATGATTTCCCGCATTATTGAAGATTTTAATATAATGTTTCACCAGTGGCCATTAGTAGGCTTTTCAAGTAAAAGGTTAAATTTGCTTATGATATATTGTTCCTATATTTTGTGAAGGCAGCAGTCAGTCGAGCAAAGTTTAAAAACAAAGCACACTTTTTTAAGTGGGCTCAAATGTTGGTTTGTGATAGCCACCCGTCCAGTAAACCAATTAGGCAATGTAACTGCGACTTAATTGGTGACACAGACATACTTGTTTGTGCCTTGTGAGATATGTGTGTCCCACTTATGTGATAGCTTGTCCTTGAGGCGTCGATAATTGGCAGAGTTGTCGCTACAGTTAGAGAGAGAGAGCACTGAGACTGTGTGAAGCTGTCCTTAAGAGTCGGGTCTGATGTAGGCTAGCTGCATTCCGTTTCCACAACAAAACAATGCATCAGGGGTGCGCCTGCAAAATAACTTGAGACACCATCAATGACTGGCCAGTGCTTGGCACTAGTTGAAGGTGATATTATACATTTGAAATATGTGCATCTGGTCAGGTTTTTTTTTTTTCTTAACAGTTTTAAAAAAGGGTGATCTGCAAATTTTATTTTCACAATATTGGAAGGGGGGAGGATTAAGATTTCATTTTTGAAATGTTGCTTGAGGGAAGTATAAAATAAAAATTGTCATGCTTGAAAACGTAGAGGGAGAGACAAGCTTGAAATGAAATCTTCATTTTGTTCTTGCTGAGACTTTGGAGGAGGATTGGGTTTGAATGCAACTTTCAAGTAGAGCATTACAAATTTAGTGTAGCGCCATTTTTAAAATTTTTTGTTAAAGTGGGAGTAGCTCCACAAATGTTGACTTTAGGTTGTGCTAGAGGCAGCATTTATACGTGCACGTACATTTTCTGTCTACAAACAAATGCTACATAACAATAGCAGTACTTTAATAGGTCCACTTGCTTGAATGGTGGCAGGTCGTTTCCTGAGTACGTTTAGACATGCCCAACATATGTGAAACTTTTTAAACATTTTACAGTTTTACATATGTT